AATCATAACCCTTCTACAACTGTGGATGCTCTTGTTCACGCTAAAATAATGCAGAGATGAGATACAGAAACCTGGATGGATGAACTGAAGGCCACTGTTAAGTGTTACTCAAATTGCTTCCTCTTCCTACTGCTTTAGAATTAAATTGCATTGTAAGACAAAATCAGAGAGCTGAACTGTAGGTAAAAATGGGAGTGGAAGATAAAATACTTATTCACAGGATGTACCAGATAGTCTGGTTTGCTAGTAGATTCCTATTTATTGCCATGGATGTGTCATAAGAAGCAAAAATGGATATTTAATACTGATATCAAGGATAACATAGGGGTCACATTCTATTCTCATTAATAGTAATTTATACTGAAAGTAATTCCAGTAATAATCAATTTTACCTGGCTATACATAAAACCAGAAATGCATTCGTCCCTCTTTTGGGCTAACAGTGTTTTTATTCATAGCATTTTTCTGTTGGGCTGTTTGACTCTGGAGTGAAGCTTGCAAAGCAAGGACAGGGCGGGTGACAGCTCTGAATCCAGGAGGGAGCCTGGCTGTGGTGTTCAGTGCCCTGTGCATTGCTAAGGAGCTGAGGGGCTGGATCCAGTTCTCCGTCGCTAGCCCCTTTCTGGCTCTGGTGTAGAGTCCTTTCAGGTACTCTGGCTGCAGAGGGATGATCACCGTCTGTGGACGCAGCATCTCCCCTCCAGTGTGGAGCACAGAAGTATTCCTGGGGCTGTGGCACTTTCGGGCCAGCCAAGGTAGTGCTAGTTCCCCTCAGCACTTACCGGTGAATTTTCAGTTCAGTGGCTCAGATCTCTCCTTGTGCTTATTCCTGCCTTCCCTTATCATGTAATTCCAGGGTTTGATTTAATTTTTAATAAACTCTGCTTAGTAAGTTCTGTAGTGTCATGTAAATGCTGCTTACTTTTTTCCAGTAATTAGTTGGATTTTTTTAAACTTTGAACATGTTGCATTGATGATGAATGGGTTTGTTTCACACACACAGGTACTTCGTCAAAGCTTGCGGTTAATAGTCTAGTTTCCTTGCAACTCAGTTGCTGCACTGAGGGAGTTTAAGCTGTGATGTGAAAGCCGCTCCCTGCAAGGGCAGTGGTTACTAGGCAGGCGCCTGTCACAGTCACAAGTGCATGGCATTATGATGCATGGTTTGCAAAGAGACAAATGGATTCTCTACTTGTAGAAACAGGTGAAGGTGTCTGTAATTGAACGATATTTCTACTGGAATTGTTCTAGTGGAAAATGACGTAGTTTACTAGCTTCCTGGTTAGTGACTGGGAAGTGGCATAGAAGACTTGGTATATCCTTTTCACTTCTAGAAGTAAATACTGATTTCTCAACAGAAAACAGACTTCTGGAAAGAGCCACTAAATCTGTGGTCATTGGAAAATTTCTCATTCTCCAGAACTGGAGTATTCATTCCAGCGAGTGTGGATTACTCATTCTCCCTCCAGGTGCCTCAGACATACCCTCCGTCTTCTTGATGTTCAGTCTGACAAATCCACAGTGTTTTATTAAGTAGAACATAACCTTGCACTGAAGTAATCAGCTCTTATTTAACTTATTTTTTCATACTTGTTAGATGTCTTTCTGTATAATCTAAGTGCTGTTCTTCAGCCAGAAATGCAGACACTCTTAACTGACCCTGCAAAGGACTTTCAGTGTCGATTGCAGAAATGAGACAGGGGACTGGAAACAGAGCTGTAGGGTTTGCATCCAACAAAAACACCATTCTAAATGTGTGTTACCAAAATTATTAAGTATCCAGGCTCTATCTGTTGCAATATCCAAGACGCTAACCTTGTGCCTCTGTCTGCGCTGCTTAGAACAGTACGCTTTGCCCACTTGATCTTACCCAGAGCTGGATTTGTTGCTCTGTCCTCTGGTAGCCTTAGTAAGCACCTGGGATGGAACAAGTGGACAAGAGTTTCCTCAAGCTGAGAAAACAGTTATTCTCACATCTCTCCTTTCCTGGGGGAGTGATCCTAATTACTAACCATTACAGAAAATGTAAGTGTCAACACCTAACTGTGCTTTAAAAAAAAGCTCCCTCGTCATTGCTTTGAAACAAAGGCTGCTGGTGCTTACCCTTAGGAGAGCTACACTTGAGGGGGAGCCTGTCCCCGCCATGGCTCTGTACTCGAATAGCATCCAGGAGCTGGCAGTGAGCTGCTGTCGTCTAACATTCACCGATCTAGGACCTTTGCCGGCTCGATGACACAGCACAATAGCTGCCTCTGTAACTGCACATTGGAAGAACACCTGAGGACCATTTTTCTCTGGCAAATCTATTAAGGAGACTAATACAACTTTGATTTCCTTCCAGTACGGCAAGCCAGCTCCTAGGGTTTTGTCAGGCAAATTCCTTTGTTGAAGGACCACATTAAGTCACAGTCTGGCAAGATTCTTCTACGCAATGAAACCTAATTTCCTTTTCATGCTCTTTAGTGAACATGAGGTAATGTGGCACTTGATTTAGCTGTGTGGTTGTAAAGTTGTGCCTGATTCGAGAAAAGTCTCATCACAACAGCTTCCTTTAATAATCAGCAAATAATTGCCCTTCCCAGCTCCCTATAAACAATTTCACCTTTCCAATTGGTATCCTAAACCTCTCTGTTTTTACTCACTTTCTCAGTTTTACTAGAAAGGAAGCATTAAACAGAACTGGTCCAAGTGGAAGGGGTCCTTTCAGTGCTGAAATAATGCTAGCACTTCTCTGTACTGCCAGTTATTAGACCTGGTCTTTCTGTCACTCCTCCTTTTGTTCCTCTCTTGTTATTCACACAGTTTGCACAAGACAAATCAGTACCCAGTACCCTCCAGCTTCCAAGGGTGAGCTCAGGGCATCCCCCTGTAACTTGCCTGGGAAAGACTGGTCCTTTCCAAAGCCCAGGGTTTCTGCAGTTTGTCTCTTGGTTGCAGGTAGATTAATCACAACACTCACAAACGAAGAGGCATATCCTGCTCTCCTAGACAGCTGTCTCCCTCTCTCATCTTAGCCCTCCATTGCATGGACAGGAAGAAATGTGAATGCTATCCAAACTCCTTTAATGCCTCAGACTTACACATCCTGATAAATCAACTGTCTGTCATTTTTTCACCTCATGCATTGATTGCTGTAATACTGTTTCTTATTCCCAAATCATCCAGAAAGTTACATGCTACTAAGGAGGGTCTCTGTGCATGTCTCTGTGTGTGTATAGAGGAAGGATAGGGGAGGATGAGGTTTGGGCTGGTGATTTGCCCTGCCAGGCAGCAGCAGCGGGTGATAGGGAGGCACCTTAGCTGGAGAGGGAACTGCAGCGCAGAAGGAGTAAGGTTGCAATTCACATAACAATGTGATCTGGAGATATTTGAGGTAGATTTAAAAGATCATCGATGGGTCCGGAAAGCAGCATAGCAACACAGAAGACTGTACAAGGTGATTCACCTTGCTGCCTGGCAGCTTTTCAATACCCTCAGTGCACACTTCTTCCTAGTGTCTATGTGGGTGCAGAGCTGGATTCTGCAGCTTCCCCTGTTTTCAGTAGTCTTCTCTGTTTTGCATTTCCCTCTAAACCAGTGCAGCCCTTCCTCATGAACTGCCCTGTCCCAAGGTCAGCACTTCACTGCCTGCCAAGGAGTCTGCTTTTGGCAAAGCTGTGGTTCATTTTAATAGTATTTTTTAGTGAGTAAGAGCAAGTTTTCAAATGGTAATCCCTGCCCTTCTCAGCAAGTAGTCAAAGCCCAACTGTAGCAAAGCAGATGAGGATGGAGCAATAGATGAGCCCCCAGTGAAATTCTCCAGAACCTGAGTCTGGTGTTTCTTTGCTGTGTGTGTCTACTTCTGCCATCACTTTTGTTCTGTCCAACTGAGTCACTGAATGGACAATCTCCACAGTTAAAAATGAGAGTCTTTATAGTGTGAGAGAAAGAGTCAGGATCTGTCCTGCAGCACTATGGAAGGGAGCATATAACAACCTACCACTGAGTCAGCTACCATAGTCCACATAGGAGCAAGCCATGTCCTCTGTTCTCCACGCAGGCACTCCTAGTGATTTCTTTGTGTAATGCCTTTATTTATTTATTTACAGCCTCTGAAACAATATTTTCATTGCAACTGCTAAAAACTGGTGGTTTGAGCATGACCTTTAGTACTGCAGAGCTGTAACTGAATTTTCTTTCTCTGCCTTCAAGTGTGTGAAAATTTCTCTACTGATAAATTCAGCTTTGTTCTAGAAAAGATGTCCTGTATTGGCTTCTAGAACCACTGTGAAATGTGTTTGGCAGCAAGGTTCTGGATGGACCCTCTGGCCGTCAGGGTAGTGGCACTGTAAATCCTTATTATAGATTTCCAACTGATACCATTGATTGAACATTATTTCCACTATAAAAATAAAATGCACAGAAAAGTTCCTTGAATAATATCTGATAAGTTGTTTTGGAAAGTTCAGCTTGGTAGCTAAGCCGTCTAACTTTAGGCACCTAATTTAGTTAAGACTAATTAAGACGGGGTGTCCAAGGGAGACAGATGTTGTCAGCGTAGGGTCCTGGTTTTGAACAGTCTTCTTGTGTCATTTCTCTCCTTTTGGTCACTGTATGAGAAGCTTTAGGAGGTCAGTATCTTGATCTGATTTGAGCAGAGTGAAAACACTTTCAGAGGTGCCTGTGAGTACTAGCTAGAGAGGTGCCTGCTAGTGCTGGCTGTCTCGTTGTGGACTGGCCACAATGAAACGTTAAGTGTAGACTATTCTAATAAAGTGTGTGTGTCCATAAGCTGTAGCTGAGTCACAGTCACTTGGGACTTCACTTTTTATACTAAAGTGTGTAATTATAAACCACTTCTTTCTACTCTTTAAAGACATAAATACCAGGTTTCTAAAATACTGCAAGGAAAAGTCTACAACAGTAAAATAAGTTAACAAACTAAGCATAATTGGCTTATTTATAATGGATTCTAACGTCAAACATTAGTATTAGATAATGGTCATTCTTTCTCTTTTCAGCGAGCAGGTGGGGCCTTAGCTATCCCTCTGTGTGCATTTCAAGGAACTGTATCTCTTCAGGCACCCACGGGAAAAACGCTCTCTTTATCTACATATGAGGTAAGCACTGAAGGGCAAAAAATAACACCGACGTCAAAGAAAATTGAAGTGTATCGATCTAAAAGCGTTGGTCACGAGCCAAACCCAGAGGAGTCTCCTAATACGTTTGCTGACACAAGCGTTAAAATTCATTTAGAGGTGCTTGAAATTTGTGACAATGAAGAGGCCCTGGATACTGTGTCAATCATCAGTAATATCAGCCAGTCCTCCACACAGGTAAGGTCTCCATCCTTACGTTATTCACGGAAAGAAAACAGGTTTGTCTCATGTGATTTAGGGGAAACTGCCTCCTACTCCCTCTTCATACCGTCAAACAATCCTGACAGCGATATTAACATATCAATTCCAGACACTGTCGAAGCTCATCGGCAGAATAGTAAAAAGCAGCATATGGAAAGAGGTGGTTATCAGGAAGAAATACAAATGTTGAATAAAGCATACAGAAAACGGGAAGAAGATGGCAACAGCAATTAAAAGGCATTTAATCTAGGCATTTAAACTGATTTGACAGACGTTGCTCCTCTTGACTCAAGTTACCCTAGCAAATACAATGTCAACTGTTTTTTCCTAACATATAAATTAATTTTATTTGGGTACGCTGTTAAATAGATTAAAACTTTTAATGATATATGGATGGGGTAACAAATACTTAAGTGCTTTACAGCTTTGCATAGTGAATTTCAAGTTATATATCTATTTGTTTGAGGAACACGTGTGTCTAAAAGGAATCCTAAATAAAGTCTTAAAAACCAGCTTTGGTTGCTTGTTGGCACTGGGTGGTCTGTCTGTTGGAACCTGCAGAAAATGAAGGAGCAGCTCCATAGGTGTGAAGTTACAACAGTTTTGGCTGACTTGCAATTCTGCTCTTACTGATGTGCCAGACTTGAAACATTTATCTGAAAAAATGTAGCCCAAACCTAAGATTAGTTCATTTAGTTGACTAAGTAGAGGATTAAAAGATATGTAAATGGTTTAATTTTCTACTGCTCTATACATGATTCATATGTAATACCTATGTAAGTGGCCATTGTATAGACCTTTGAATATGGGTGGCTGAAATGTTAGCATGCACGTTTTGTAAATACGACATTGGGAAACTTATGAGTGTTCTCATGGTTGACATTTCTTTGATCAAATGTGACAAATGTTGGTTAATTTTATGCCAGTTACTCTGAAGAGTCCCCTTTTTTTGCCTCCATGATCTCTTACCAAGTTAAGAAGTTTCCCAACCATACAGAATATTTGCAACTCAATCCAGATAAAGGCAGCATTTGAAATATTTGAAGAGCTAGGATCAATTTGAATAATTCTTCATGTCTGAGCTGTCCCTAAGCAAGGAATAGTTTTACAATGTCGTCTTCCTCCTCAAGGTCCATGTGAAGCTAATACTTTTCTCAACACAACCACGAGAGTGGGTGTAGCTTGCACATAGTTGCAGGAGTCGCACTGGCTCACAGCAAGAACACTACTGTTTTTTCTGCCATATATATTCTGTCAGTAAACCTGTCATCACTCCTTTTTGGATGGACCCTCATGCTTTAGATCTGAGTCAGGAGCTGGGGGTTACAACTGATTTGTGACTCCTTAGGAGAGGGGAAAGGAGCTATTCAAGGTGGCCAAACTTAGAGACTGAGCTTAGGCATCGACCTCAAGAGAGTGGTCTGGTGACCTAAATCGGGTCCCAACCTGTATCACCTTCAGGAGGAGCCCATCTCCCTGCTGACTTATAAGGAACCTAGAAGTAAGTCTAAAGCCAACCTAAAACCAGTGAATACTCTAATTCGTGTCAAATTCAGACAAGCCAAGGCAGAAACAATGAATGGAGTCCTAAAATCTTACATTAAATATGCTGCACGTGCTTGAAATGCTGGTGCATTTTGACTGAGAGCTCTTCTTCTGAGGGTTTGTCATTCATTTCAGTTAAACAGAGGTAAATTTACTCTCAGGACTTTCAGCAGTTTGATTAAAAATTACACTGCTTCTTTAAGGAATAGATTTAATTTCCAGTGGTATGCATGACGACATAATCATTTAGGTGTGTGCAGTCACCCTGTTTTCCACTCAGTGAAAAACACAAGGGAAAATAAGCACAATCCTATTCAGGATTCCTTTATGGCTTATGAACAAACAGAGCAAAAGGGCCAAATACTGTGTCTGTTTGCATTCAGCATTCGATACGGAGGCATGAAAACAAGCAGACGACTTGCCTTCTCACTTCACCAACATAAATCAGGCCTGCCATCGCAATCAGTGGGGCTGTGCTGGTGTGACAGTGATGTAGCACTGAAGAAAATCAGGGTTGAAGACTGCAGGTTGCTGTGATAGAGATGGATCACACTGCAAGTTGTGCTTTCCATGTGCTGCCTTTCCAAGGTGAAAACAAGGGTTCTCATAAGATTGCCTCAAGGCTCTTAGTTCCACTAAGATGCTATGTTATATTTCAGATTTAACAAGAAACTACAGTAGAAGGAACAATTAGTGGTAAGTCTATTGAATAAATCTATATACATACACGTAGAGCAGAGAGACACATTCTGCTGTCTCTGAATATGTTGCTTTTCTTTGTGTTCTGTAGAAGGAACGCAGAAAGTATCTTTATAGGAACGGACACGCTCGATCCAGATAAAGGTAGCAAAGTTGTGATGGAGGATGCAGTCCATCACAACTTTAGTTTGGTCAGGTGTTGTGTTTTCCCTGGAAGAGATTTGGACTATGTTAACGAGATTACGTGCTGATGTCTTAATCTCTGATGGATATATTTACAAAGGGTTAAAATTTGGAGGCATTACAATTCTGCATAGCTGTGACCCAGAGCTTGACCTAATTGTAGAGTGTTGTCTTGCTGCTGGAATAAAATATGGATTTTATTTAATGAATCTGTAAATTTGATAATGTACAAATGTCTGATTATTTTATTTTTTGCTCTAAATGACTCACATCATTAAACAATTTAAAGTGTCTGAAAACCCAAGTTGTAATTATTGAGTAGATATCAGCTCCTTGCACAATGCACCAGAGAACTCTCTGTTTGACAAAATTTGCTCCTGGCTTGTTTATTCACATAAGTGTTAAGGTGTCTTCATTTATCATTTGGACTTAATTTTTAAAGCAATTCTTTTATAAGAGTTTAAAAGGGAAAAAATTTTCTTCCTCCTTGGTTGTTTTTCCCCTGTCTGACCTTTTAATGTATTTCAGTGACAGCTTGACATTTGAGGGCAAAGTGTTTGTCAATGACCATTTGAAGGTGACTTGAAAGAGACCTCATCTCTGTTCAGACACCACAGCAACTGACTGAAAAAAATCCCTTGGAAAATGTTTGACATTTGGGCAAAGTGTTTGTCAATGACCATTTGAAGGTGACTTGAAAGAGACCTCATCTCTGTTCACAGCAACTGACTGAAAAAAATCCCTTGGAAAATGTGACTTGAATCAGCGCTCAGCGCTCCCCTGCTTTTAGGATGTGGGTTGCTGAATAATGCAAAGGATAGAACAAAAGAAACTGGGAAATAATTTCGGAGATAATCTTTGGTAAGCAGTATATCCAGTGGGTCAGAGTTTCCTTTCAGTGTTACAAGAAAGCTTGACATTTGAGGGCAAAGTGTTTGTCAATGACCATTTGAAGGTGACTTGAAAGAGACCTCATCTCTGTTCAGACACCACAGCAACTGACTGAAAAAAATCCCTTGGAAAATGTGACTTGAATCAGCGCCCAGGCTTCCCCTGCTTTTAGGATGTGGGTTGCTGAATAATGCAAAGGATAGAACAAAAGAAACTGGGAAATAATTTCGGAGATAATCTTTGGTAAGCAGTATATCCAGTGGGTCAGAGTTTCCTTTCAGTGTTACAAGAAAAATAGATCTGTAATACACAGGGCCAGGCCCAAGAATCCCAAATACCTCAAAGGATTATGCTTCTTGAAATAAAAGATATAGCCAGGTGCTGAAATTTATATTTTCTATACTAATCTTGGTAGAAAATATATCTTACAGCATCATACTATTTCAAAATACAGTCATTTCATAAAAAATAATAAATGTTACTTATACGTTATTTTACCTTTATAGATTTGGGGTTGATGCATAGATTCTGGAACATGATTTCACTTCCCAGTATGTATCACTATAATGATTTCCAAGATGAGTGTTTGAGTGTTATGTTCCTCTCTCTTAATGAATTTTGCAGATTAGATGTCTCGGAGCAGAATAAATTCTGATTTTCTAGACTTCATCAACAGCTCCTATAAGAATTACGATACCCATATCTATATACTCCTGTATGTTGTACACTCTATGTTTTGTAAAACAAACTAATTTTAAAGACCTTCAGTCCTTGCACAAACAATCTTTACTCATAGAGACAGTCCTATTGACTGTAGTACTGCTAGTGTGCAGTAGCAAGATTTACTCGCTGGATTGAGAGCTGTAACGTGGGATCCTCTTTTATTGTGTCTCCCCCTCTCAGTGTTTACCTGACAGGTTTCGTGTTTCTTCACTAGGAATTTGACTTCAAGGAATCTCACTTCAAAGTACTGAAAGGAGAACACTATCTTCTGTCCTCTTTGAGAGCATGCCACTGTGTAGAGACCATTATGTACAGATGCATTACTTTACATCATGACAGTGTGCTACTGAAGTGGATGAAAACTGAATGTTATGAAAAATGAACAGTGGTTAAAAGGAATTGAAAAGGCCCAGTAATATGCAAACCACTGAGATCATTTCAAGAAATACGTCTTTTCACACATATTAGAAAATGGTCTTTACATGAATAGATGCACTTTTACTCTCTTTCCAACATCTAAAACTACAAATCTACTAAAAATATTTGAATTTGTAATGTTTTCTTTAGAATGTGTGTTTTTTTCACAGTGTTAAAAAGACATGGCTGAAATGCAGTAGCTACATGGATGCATATGGAAATTTCCTCTTGCACTAAAATCCCATTTATTTCAAATGTGTGCACTGCTTAGGTGTTCAAATACACTATCATGGAGAGATACTGGATCAAACAGAATAAATCTATTGAAGTCACCCAAGTGATTCAAGGTAACCCTAGAACATTTTTCTTCAATAATTTTAAGGAGATACTACAGGCAAAACCAGCTTTCTGACAGCTTACTTAGGCACGCAGAACCTAACAGGAGATGCAACGGCATGTCTAAGTCAAGCAACATCTGAGAGCATGGCCACGCACATCGCTGGTGGGATACGTACCATAAGCCCTGGCTGGTGGTACGTGTTATGGATGGTCACCAGGGGCCATTTCATACCAGGCTTCGCTAGTTTCAGATTGGCATCAGTCACATCTCCTGTCCTGGTATATCTAAATAACAGAAGTAGAGATAATAATTGCCCCAATTTCTATTCACCTACAGGGTAAAGAAGGCCTGGAAGGCAAGCTCGTTCGCATGTGGGTAATGTCATGCCACTGACATGAAAGTTCATACCTGAGCAGCAGGATGTGTTTTCCCATCTAGTATCCTAACCCCTCTATCCTTTCGGAAGGACTTGTGCCATTCTCCCTTGTTTGGCCTGTATAGGTGTGCCAGTAACATATTTCAACAGGGCATCTTTTAACATTTATTAGATTTCTGAGAATTTATTTTGTGCTAATTTTCTTTGGCTCTTTTTTGCTCCCTAGTTGGTTGTCACTGTGAGACTTTTGAAGAATCCTGTGAAGTTGCTGTTAGTTTATGTAGGATGATGAATGCAAGAAGTCACGGAGTGTGCTTCCCTAGTCTGCATTAAGCCACAGATACAGGATGAGAAGAGAAGTAAGGAAGAAGTCTATTTCCTCCTATATTTCTCATTTCTCTCCCACACTCCTTCATGTAATTTGCCTTTTGGATGATCTTCCTCAGTGTCCTCCAGTCCTTGTACTCTCTGTTCTTGATCCCCTCCCTTTCCCTCTTTTCTCTGGGTAACCTCACCCAAAGTTCAGCTACTTGCTGTGCTGATGACTCGGAGATCTTGCTGTCTATTCCTTACTTGTCTCTTTATTAAAATTAAAATCCGAACTTCTCTGAGATTTCCTTCTACCTGAAACTAGGTATAGCTAAAAAAAGACCGCATGATGTTTCTTGCACAGACCCTCCTGTGCAAGACCGTGGCATGATGCTGTGCCATTTTGTAGACGTACAGATTAGCTCTGGATGAGTTGGTAGATCTGTACAGGACACTGGTGTACTGCGGGTCTTGTCCCCAGCGTGGTGCCCTTTCGTCCTTGGAGGAGCGGGCCCCGTCAGCCATCTGCCGCCTACTGCCATGATCACTAAGAAGAGCTCCAGTGGCTGCCTTGTCACTTGCCTCCATAACCTGAGGTGTCTTTGAGTAAAAGGCTACAGATGTGTGCTATGACAAGGTGGTGTGATTTTGATTTGCATGTTTTAAGGCCGTGGAAATAAGTATTTCATTAAGCATGGAGAAGGATAAGCCTAGCAAGACAAGTGGCTACTGGGATGCATAAAGCATTTTGTGAGGGGAAAGGAAAAAAGAAAATACAGATCTTTAACTTGAGTACTTAGTTCTTACTTCATTACATAGCCAGCTGCTGGGAGTTGTTGGACTAACTGTAGGTAAACTGTAGGCAGAGAAAAAAAGAGAAAATGGTTTCCTTTGAAAGAAGCAGTCCTTTACCTGAGAGAAGTTTGAAAATCAGTGTGTAACATTGTATTTCAGAGATCTGAATGCTAGTAATTCTTAAATGAATGTAAATCATACCAACAAAGAAGAAAAGGCAAAGAATATGTAAAGAAATGAGATCGAAGAAGCATTTATAGCTGCACAATGGTATTCAAGGAAACAAAAAGAACATTAATTAACTGTTGAAAGAGTAATAATTCTGGGAATCATTTTATCTAATTTAAAAGGTTTAATTTAACACTCCTGAGAACTTGGACAAAGTACACCACATACAGCAGCAGTCAGCCAGCAGACCCAGAACTGGTAGCTATTTAAATAGGCATATTCTATTTAAAAAAGAAACAATAGGAATACCCATCTGGTACACAGAAAGGGTAGTAACCCCACATGTAATGACAGAGACCAACATTTAATGTTTCCTTAAAATCCTATCTGCAGCCTCAGAAAGGGAAATCAAAACTTAGATCTGTAAATTGAAACAAGAAGAGATATTCATGCAAGATGAACTTCAGTGACATATTGCGGTGAATATATTGCCTTATTCAGTCGCTATTGTGCTTCACTCTCGGGTGTGTTTCAGGATAGTGCTGCCATCCTCGTCCTCAGTAACGTCAAGCTGGTCGCGGTGCGAAGCGCTGCTCTTCGTACGCGGAGGAGGTCGGGGGCGGGACTCGAACCGGCGGCCCAGCGGCCCTGGCTGCGGGGGCGGGGCGTGGTGGCGCGGGGCGGGGCGGC